TGTTATAATTGCGATTTGAAAAAAAAATTGGAAAGGAAGTTGATATTAAAATAAAAAAAAAAAATTTTATCAAAAATAGTTACGATTTGGAGAACTATATGAATGAGCTATATGGAAGATAGCTTAATGAACAAGGAACAAATAATCGATTTTTTATCCACTCTGGTATTTCATGGACGTAAGTATAAATCGAAAACACAGGATCAAAAGCAAACAGAAAGAGCTACAAGATATCAAGGACATTGGACCTATTTTGATTCTGTAACTCGGTCAGTAAAGAGTTCACGGTTCGTATTACCAGCCACAATCCTTAACTCATTCATTGTCCAGGGTCGACGGAACTTAACCTATACTGCACAATTCGTCACATCTTTACCAATCCTTCCAAGGACACTCCTTGGTCGTAAGACATGGTTTGAAACCAAATTCCGTTATGAGGAAATAGTTATATATGTATGTAGGTAATGACTGGCGGTTCCACCATATTTTTTTCAAATTTCCCGTTTGGTCAGTCAGATTTTCCCATTTTCCCCCTCAAAACGAACATAAAAATCCCATCCGTCCAAATATATACAAAAAAATCTTATATATTATTTTCAAATATATATATACCCCTTTTCCGGCTCTCAGGAGTGATGGATTTTGACGAATGAGGTATCAATAGAATGGGAATATCACGTAAAGTGGGCAAATTTTGATTCCTAATTTTATACTTGGAATTAAATAAAAGTGAATGTAAAAGTGGTAGATTTCAAACCATATGATGGTGCCGTCTCAACGAATCGAGACTTTACAAATGAATTCATAATTTGCAAAAAACTCGTAAAATTAAGCAATTTTTGGTACATTATCAATATGAGTAAGTGAAAGCTTACTAAATTCCCTACAAAACGTAAAAAAAAATCATCGAAATCGGACGATTTGGTGCAGAGCTATAGCGTTCTGAACATTTAGTATTTGTTGTACTACGAAGATATGGGAATTCGAGAAATGGTTCTTTTTCTTCGGAATGTATGTATGTAATGTATCAATTAGTAATTATTTTTTTAAATAAAAAAATATTCTTTTATTAATTTAACTATTAATTTTATTTTCATTTATATAAATGTGTCTTCCTTAAAACAATTTTGGAATGTTTTTCAATGTGTTTCAATGACTTTAGTTTTTCCTTTTAAATCTTTATTTCTGAAGTTTATCATATTAAAAATATACTTTAGATTTTTTTTTTAATGATAAAGTAACATACAATTGCACCTTATTGCATTAACTATTTTTCTCTGAGAATTTGAGCCGTTTGTCTTTTACCGTCATCTGATGTTTAAAGCAATGTTTAGAAGCTTTTGTTAATTTATGATAATCTATTGAAGGAAGAAAGCTAATATTTAAATTGTAAGTTTAAGGAAACGCATTTGTTAAACCATGGCATATTGTAAATCATATTTATAAATGATGGCTTATTAAATATATGTATTACACCTTTGCGTATTGAATGGAACATTATTGAATGGAAGTTGTGCTGATCCATTAATGCATTAAAATCGGATACAAAATAGGTTTGTGCAGAATATTCGCACGGGTCAGCTAATACATAATATAATATGTAATTACCAGTTTTATGTCTGTTCTACTTAGATAGAATAATAATAGAAAAATAGATTAAACTGTACTCAGATTAAGCTTTGATTGATAAAAATTGTTTTCCTTTTTTTCCCTCCCAACCTTGGAATTTCCCAAAAAAGTAAACTTTTTCACCAAAGTGGAAACCCTGCTTATGATATATATTACAAGTTAAATAGCGATGAATCATAAATTATTTAATATTTTAAGGATTTTTCTTGGGTTTGTTTGAAGATCAATGGTTGGCGCAAATTTATTATTGCTTCCTCACTACCAAGTGTAGAGAAGCTTTGTAATATTCACCTAATCATTTTTTCTAAAGCTCTGATCAGCCTCTACTAGTCATTAATACCAGTAATGCGCCTGAGAGAGAGGTGCTGGGATCTTCTCGAGTCCTGCCTTTCCTTCCAGGAGTGGAGAGAAAGGCTTGGCTCGGAGATATTGAGTAAATAATTTTTTTTTTTGTTAGATATTGTATGGAAGCATGTATGTAGTTATTTTTATTCGTTTAATTTCTTTTGTTTAATTTATATACATTTAATTTTAGTATTATTGTTTTTTGTATTATTTATTTTTGATAGAGTGTGAATGTGCTCTCCGAACACTATTATAAATATACTTAAGTGTGACAGATTGTAATATCTCTCAATAAATATGTTTAAAAAAAAAAAAAAAGCTTCAGTTGTTTCATATTATTTTTTTTTCAACTATAAAGATGGAAAAAATAATCAAAAGTACAATTTATAAATTCACAAAAATACTGCTCTAACGTTTTGAATTAAGTTACAAAGTCATTTAGAGGTTAATAAAAGTTTTAAGAAGCAATAAATATGAAAAGTTGCGTATTTATTATTATTTTGGAACTAGTTATTTTTTTTTTCCTTATCACCTTTTTTTAAGAGAAAATATTAAAAATTGCAGATTTTCAAGTTTAGAAATACCTCAATTAGACCATACAATAAAAATATATCATTAACTAAAATATTAAATGTACTACAAAATTAAAGGACAACGATTTTTTCAATTTTTCAGATTAACATCGAAAATAAAAGCTATAAGCTCGAAGAAAATCGAAAATAAGCTTCCTAAAGTTTATTATTATTCTAAAACAATACACTTAGCTACTAAAAATAACAATAATAGCGACTAGATGATTTATTGAATTCATTGCGGTTACACCGCACATAGCGGTTTTGGGAAAAATTACAAGTGGCTACAGAACTTATAGAAAATTTGATTTTGAATAAAAAATTTCCTACGAACAAGAGTATACAAATCAATGTAGTAATTGCATTACAGGAAATGCTGTATTAAAAAAACAATAGTCTCTTTTAATTCAAGAAATATTATATTTGTAACGGATTATGTATATATTTTAAGAAAATTATGGTTTTTAGTTTTTGTTTTTATTTTATTTAACGAATCATTAATTTAATCAAAATAATATATTTTTTTATTTCGAATTTCATAATTCACCATCGTGTAGAGAAAGTATCTATGGACACCACAGACTAATAATTGTTATTCTCTGATAAATACTTATGAAATTAATCTATAAATATCTTCATCTATTTATAGGTTATTATAGGTTGATAAATGCACCACTAGCAAATGACAAGAAAAATCAGAGTATTGTCTGAATATCTTCATTTCATATTTATTTAAATAAATTGCATGGATAAAGATTTCCGATTCGTCTGTTAGTGTTTGGAAAGAGGTAAATATTTATTTATACATCGTAGTAATTACCATCTTTCGCAAGAAATTTCAATTCCGTACCTCTCACACAGCGAAGGATCGGTTTGTGTACCTTTGATGAAATTTAATGATACGTTAAATAAGAAAAAACCATAATTTTCTTGATAGATTCAATAAAACATCTAGTCACTATTTTTGTCATGCCTTAGTATCTAAATGCATTTTAAATTATTGATTTAGAATAATAATAAAAACCATTAAAGTTGATTAATATTACGGCTGTTAATGTTTTAATTATAAAATAAATGAATAACATAATAATAAATATTACACAACAATAGTTCTTCAGTTTATAGCTCACTTCAGCAACGTGATAATCAGGAACATATTGCTCATATAATACGTCACAACTATAATTAAACAAAAACAACACAATATTGTAAATAATTATTACAAATTGTATTTTTTAATAATTGAATTTTCAATTTTTATAATGGTAAAATTTTTATACTTTAGATCAAAATTGAATCATACATGAATTTACAGTAGTAATTGCATAACACGAAATAGTGCATTAAAAAATAATAGTCTATTATATTTTTTACGAGTTATGTTAAGATTTAAAGAAAATTATTATTTTTTTATTGAATATTTATTTATGTGTATGCAGTTATAAATAAACTTAACTAATCATAAAGTTTCATAAAATTAATTTTTTTTTTATAAAATTTGATTTTCGTGATTCAGCATCTTTTTGAAAAGTTGTCTATGGACAACACAGAAACAATTTTAATCCTGAAAATTGAATGTTTAGTAGAACTGTCGTATTAATACCTACAATTTTGAAAATATTGCCAGAATGTTAAAGCGGTAGAAGAAAACAAGTGTCAATGTGAGTGTTCTGGAGTACCAACCAATAAAACATAAATTTTATAATTATAATTGTTAAATTTCTGTAGGTTAGATATTTGGGCCAAATAAAACGACAATGCATCAATTTCAATTTTTTACGTGCTACATTGAACGGGATTGAATAAACTGTAGTAATTGCATAACAGGAAATGTTGCATTAAAAAAACAATAGGTAGTCTCTTTTAATTCAAGAAGTGTTATATTTTTAACGAAACATGTATATATTTCAAGAAAATAATAGTTTTTATTGATGACGTTATATGCACTTATAAATGACATTAACGAATCATACAATTTCATCAAAATAATATATTTTTTTTTAATTTAGAATTTCATGATTCCACATCTTGTAGAGAAAATATCTATAGACAACACATATACAAATCTCAATTGTAAAATTTAATTTTCAAAGTGTTTAGTACCACAACTTGTTATAAAAATAATAAATAATTTATTAAAAAAAAGTTTTAAATACAGCCATATTTTTATATGCACAGTTTTGCAAAAATATCAAAATTGTTAAAAGGAAGGAAGAAAACAAGTGATTAGATAATATCATGTCATATGTAAAATATGAGTTTTCTGAAGTACCTAACTATTGAAGTTAAAATTTATAGCAACACGTAATAATTAGTTGATCAAACGATCATTTATATTTTGTATGTGTATATAAAATTTTAATTCTAGCAGTCGTGTCATGATAAAATACGACACGAATTACAAGAAAAAAAATCCGAAAAATCTAAACTGTGTCTATCCTAAAAATATCTTACCTATTTATTGATTTCCCACCACTCATATTTTTTTATTAACATGTGCCATTAGGGTTTCACTTTTTTCAACTTCAGATATACATATTTTTCAAATAGTTCTGTTTTTTCGCAAGGTTCATACATCCCTTAGCACGGAAGTCATGGAGGTTCGAAACCAAGAAATAATACGATAGATAAAACTATTAAGATTATGATAGAGTGCCGAAGATAGATTGACAGACTACACAGACTACACTCACCAGGAGCCCGCTGAGGACGCCGCCAGACTGAGGGTCCAAACGCCCCCACCAAATCGACTCCCCGGCATCCCTTTCGGTCGCTACCGTCCTCCAGAGGAGGGTATCTGATCCATCACGAAGAGGAGTATTGTCCAAGAGATCGCTAAGCTGATAAAAACATCTCGAAGAGATAGATACAGATTACTTCAATCTGAGATTATGTTTAACTTAAACTAAAAAAGCTGAAGGTGGAGAAATAGTTGAATGTAGGTCACTAGTGCATCCAGGATTTAATTTTGGTGGGAGGGGCTTCAGCCCGAAAGATTTTTTTCATGTATATAACAATAATTAATTTGAAAAAAAAAGAAAGGGATGAAATGGTGTTTAAGTGATTCTTGAAGCCCTATTAAAAGTAATTACACGAACAATAATACTTTAAGAGATAGTTTTTAATATTTTTTTTCTATAAAACATGGTTATATTTTACCGTTTTTGGGGGGGAGGGGAGGGGAGCTTCAGCCCGAAAGTCTCCCCTCCCCCGTAAATCCGCCTGTGATGTAGGTAGTATTATTGCAAAGTTAGTTAAGGGTTGAGTTACAATAAAAAAAAAAAACATGAAATAAAAATTAATTTTTTGCCAACATTTTGATCTAAATTCCAAGGCTGAGGGGAAATGGTAATAAACTGTACCAAATTGATGGGTTCATATTTACCTTAGACAAATTATGATAATAAAAAAATTATAATGTTCACTTTTTTGGTGTGTTTTTTGTCATATTTTTATATTTCTAGCTTGTCATTTATAATTGTCAAATTTGATTTTTTATATATTTACCACCAATCTTTTTCCAAATCATTGTGTGTAATTAATAATATAAGTACAAGTGGATATTTTTTTTTAAATGAAAACTTCTTCTGGCTCGTTTCGCGCTTGTGGAGAATGAATTAGATTGAGCCGTCAGATCTCCGATGTGTAACACTCGGTTAAAGTCGGATGAAGTCGACTAATTGAAGTGTTTTTGCATATGGATTAAAATATCTCAAAAACAATAAATCGGATCTGAATATTGTTAGCAAGGAAATGTTCTATAATGGGTTATTAATCAAAATTGTATCTTAGAGATATGAAAAAGAAAAAATAGTGTAAAAAACCAAGTGATAACTAGTTTTATGGAAGATATGGATTAAAATATCTTAGAAAGTGAAAATCGGATTTGCATACTGTAATTGAGGAATTGTTCAGTATTTCATCCTCTTTAAAATGAGCCATTATTTATAATTTATATTTCATATTATTAATATCACCTTGTTGATGTTTTCAATTCCATCGTGTCTTTAGATCACACGATCGCACACGTTTTTTTTTATTGATGTACTTTTTATTATCATTCAAAATTTTTTTTTTTTTTTTTTTTTATTTCTTTATGACATTTACAACTGTATTACATAAATACATCAAGTAAATTTGGACATGATTGATATAATGACATGAATACACTTGCTGAGTAACTACCCAATGGTAGCACTCTAATGATATGACTATATTAGGAGATCACGGGGTCAAAAATTTAAACAGCAGAATCGAAATTTTAAAAATCACTTATTCAATTTTATCAAAAAAAGAATATCAAACTATATTATTTAATTATAAGAAAATATTATTTAAAATTAACAATCATTGGTTTTTAAAGTCATTACGGGAGTACGAAAGTGACATCATTATTTTTTTTTTTAATTCATTTGTATCTTATTATTTGACTTGTGGATTTTGTCTACCGATTTCCTACGTTTAACTTCAAGAAATCATGAATTGTTTAATATTTAATGAAACTTAATAGTTTTAATTTTATTACATCTAACATTAATGCTAATTTCTTAAACAACCCAATGAGGATGAGAATTTTCTTTACAATACAATGGGAATTATTATTACATTATTGATTTATATTACATTTCTTTGCATCTAACTAAAGTTATTTTTGAATTTCAAAATTGAAAACGAAATTATGGTAGTGAAGATGCTTCATCAGAAATGGACGGATTGGTGAGTGATTGTTTTTAGTAAATATTCGGTATTTACTTCCTGTCATAATAAACTATTTTCGAAAACTTCGTATGAGTAATAAAATTAATAGTATTTGCGAAATTGTTACTAAATATTAATCCGTATCCTATATAAGAATTAGAACAGCACACCACTGCCCTTCACTCCTCAATCAATAAATATAGAACTTCGTTACGGAGAATAATGCCTGTAATATTCTCGTTTTTTTCAAAATAATCTGGAAATACAACTAATAAATTGGTTACCAAATCGAATTTTAGATTGATTGATTCGATGTCAAGTTTTGGTGTAGCCCGTACTCTGTTAAAGAATATGATAGATAGATATACTTTAGTAAATAATGTCAACTTATAGTTAGAAATAGTTTTGTATATACACATAAATGCCAAGAATGATTTATAGAGCAACTTAAAAATTTATTAATTTACACTTTGTTCTAAATTATTACTGTCTATTAGTAATAAATCAACAGTTTTCGATTGCAGAAAATATATTAAGGAAAGAGCTCTAAATTTTTAATAATGTAAAAAATAGTGAAATTTTTAAAATTTATTAGTTAAAACTAGAGTCCCTAATCACTATGTATTATATTTTTTTACATGGTTCATATTTCCTCCATACCTGCTTTTATTTTTTTTCCAGTATTTCTATTTGCTCCATATTTCTTACAAAAATATTTATTTTTAAAATTTTGGAATTTCTTAATTATTATCACTTTATTATTAATAAAGTACTTAACGTATTTTTCAATCACTATTTCGTTATTAAGGTCTCTATTTACTACATGTTTAATTTTTTTTTTAACAATAATTAAACCTACTCCTAACGTACAACTACTTTTAGAACTATTCCTATTAAAACTACTTTTAGTGTACAATAGAATAGGCCTTCGTGGCCGCGGTGCATTCATGTCACCTGAAAAAAAAATCTATTCTGGCGATTTCAAAGTTTTATTATTTTTTTTCATAATATTTAATTATTTATACTAACTTTTGTTGTCGTTATTTATTTTTTTAGTTCTTCTAAAACTAATTAAAATAATAGGTTTAATCATAATTTGAGGGATATGAGAGTAATTAGAGTCGTTATAATCAATTCACACGCACAAACATACATACACAAACACAATTTTTTTAAAAATTATTACTTTTGTTATTAAATAATGCAAAAAAAACCTGTACCACTACAACCCATGAAGGGTCTTGGGTTCAGTACATTTAGGCAAAGTACTGTTACAAGGCCAACGGTTGTACAGGGAGGAGATCGGGCCAGGATCTCATCTCGCTCAACCGACAGGTTTTCTCGCTTAATCAATTATTTAATTAAGGGTACCCACTTTGCAGGGGCTGGGTGTGCCCCAGGAGGGTCTCCCTACAACAGGATCATCCCACGGCCAATGCTACAGAATAAATAATTTTTGTACCATGAGCCTGGGATTCGAACCTGGGACCTTGAGCATTAGAAGCTTAGTACCCTACCATTGATTAATTTATTTATCTGTGTAATTTTTTTTTCCTTTTATCTCATTAATATTTACCTATATTTTTATCCTGATTTATTATTATTATTTTTTAAACTATCTATGTTTATTTCTTTTTTAAAAGTATATATTATATGAATGAATATTTATATTTATACTTGTCGCTCTTGAATGTTGTTGATTCAGTAAACTAGTAAAGAAAAAACATTGATTATTGCATTTATTGCGTATAGTTACACATTTAAACCTTAGTAGAATAACAGATTTAACTATAATTTGTGTCGCTTTAAAGTACATATATACATATATATATATATATATATATATATATTTTTTTTTAAATTATAGGAAAAATAGCATATTTGCAGAGATGTGATATTTTAAATCCCCCTTTTCTCTGATTTGTTAAAAAGTTTACTTGGTTGAGTTGAATTTGCAATTTAAAGGAAGAGATATGCGGTATTGGCAAGAACAGAACCTACTTAGAACTCCAGTGGCCAATCTACGTATTGAGTGTAGTAATGAGACTCACCTAACGGTGAACTGCTATTAGTGATCGGTGATTTTAATCAACTTCGGGGAACGGTTGCACATCTGGAATGCTACTATTATTTCTGAGGAACCAGTTTTTCTAAACTAGCATTTCAGATTTATTTATTTGAACTTAGAGGTAATTTCTCTCGGGTTTTGATGACGTTTCCAACAAATGAATTTGAATTAAGCTTTGGTCTGATATTTATTTATTTTTTCTTTAATAGGCGCGTGGCGATAATTAAATATTTATTGTTGGCCAACATAGTACTGTTGGTTATACTTGTACAAAATAAAAATTCCTTATTAGCAGAAAACCTAAGAGACGTTTACGTTATACAGTAGTCTGGATAATATAAAATGTAAACCGATGGGTCGTATATTTATTATAACGCCTACAATAATGATGATAATTTATTATAGCCCCAATAACGCACTTAATTCATTTCGAAGTTTTTTTAAACAAAGTTTTTTTGTGTTCTTTTTTTTTTTTTTTAAACAAAAAGATGTGAATTATTGAAGGTTGGAAGCCTATCATACAATGCTTGATCGATCGCATTACTTCCTTTAGCCATCAAAGATTCAATAAGGTAATAATTTATTCACTGTCTAAAACCGCATGAGAGGCAACAATTTTTTTTTCTCTCTTAGGAAGCAGTAAAAGCGATCCTCCACAGAACTAGCAATTTCTTTTGTTTATTTGTATTACTTGGTTTATTTATATATTTCTATGAAACACTCGTGGAAGATTTGAGATTTTTCGCCGACGTATTAAAAACGACTTGACAATACCTTGAAGCCATGAAATAAAAAACTTTAAAAAATAGTAACATCTCTAACTCCAGAAAATTAGAAGAATAAGAACGAGAAATCTACTTATATAAGTAAATTAAAGGCACGGAAGATGTACGCCTCTGTACCGTTCTTCTTCATGCCTGACATGCCATTTTTTTTTTGTCACTACCA